CAACCATGGTACTTAAATTCCAGTGCAACAGTGCACCGAAGCATGACCTAGACAATCATTCTAAATCTTGCAAAGTTACAAATGTACTTACATTGTTCTGCCAGAGTCAGTCACCCAGGTAATGATCATAGCAGAACTCAGTTTTAGGACCTTCAAATTCCCCCGGACCACACCACCATCAAACCAAGAGATCCAAAGGGGGAATTGGGTAGGCTCTCCAGGGGTTGTCCTTCCCTTTCTCTATCTGTATTTTGGGCTTTTATTGTCTGAGCGCAAGCCTCGTGCTTTAAAATCCCAGCACATGTTGGGGGTCATCCTTTTTCAGTGCATGTGTTTCACACAGTTGCATTTTGGCTCTTCCCCTGTGAGTTGGCATTTGTGAACAAGGCAATGCAGCCTAATTCCACAAAGGAGACGTTAGTCCCAGCCAACAGTGGAGCGCTACTGAAGGCCTTGCAAGGAGTTTGGAAAGGATGCTTCATCTAGGAGCTCACTAATGGTTTGTTTTGCTAGTAGGCACTGCCACGGGGCTGGTGGTACTGGAAGATAGATAATAAGCATGATACACATTGCTTTGTAGCACCCATTTTAAAGATAAAGCATCTCAGGTGGGATTGAGCTGGAACCCTGCGTGGCTGGGTGGGCATTGCAATTTGTGAGTGAATGCTTTCATTTCATGTAAAAGATTCCCATCCTTTCATTGATTTTTCCAAAATTCCTGCTACTGCTGCTGCCCTCCAACCTGAAATTGGATAAAGCAACCTTTTCCAGCCTTGGGGCCCCAGATGTTGTTGGACAATGATCACAATCATAAAAGAGTAGAGTTGGAAAAAGCCAAGAAGGACATAAGGTCCAACCTCTGGCTTAATGCAGGACTCCAATTTAAATGATCTCTCTGCCTCTAGTTGGGAGGGCGCTTGACCTCCCTAGGTGTAATTGGTTCAAATTCAAAATTGGTTCAAATTCAAATTCAAATCAAAGTAAGTTCTTCCTGATGTCTAGCTGATATCTGGCTTCCTGTAACTTAAGCCAGGATTATTCCATGTCCTGTACTCGGAGATGATCAAGAAGAGATTCTGGCCTTCCTCTATGTGACAGCTTTTCAAGTACTAGAAAAGTACTATCATATCTCCCCTTAGTCTTCCCAAGGCTAAACATGCCCCATTCTCTCAATCTCTTCTTATAGGGTATTGTTTCCAGTCCCTGGATCACCCGTGTTGCCCTCCTCTGAGCCTGACTACAATTTCCACCATCCCTGGGGATTGGCCATGCTGACTAAGATTGATGGGAACCATAGTCCAACAATATTTGGTGAGTACTGGTTGAAAAAGGCTGGGACAAACTGTAGTAGTGACATCCACCAGGAAATCCACCAGGCGGCATAACCTGGATTCCCAACCAAGCACAGCAAAGAGAGAAACATCAGCATTACTTTGAGTGACAATCAATAGCTGCATTTTCCTCTCCAACATCCACTCAGGTGTCTACAGTTATAACTGTATTCTAATGTCTCTTCACTTTCACTCAGAGCTAAGTCTATAGGATGCAGGAATGTGTAGGATATTAGATCCAAAAATAATCAGCATGCAGTTGTCCTAGAAGAGCATTCAGAATATCCCAAAGCTGCTCTAGGAAAGGGTCATCAAAAGGTCATCAGGGAAGAAGACATTGTTAGAACAGAGTTCCATAATTTTGAAGCTACTACGGACAAGGCCCCACTTGTCCATCAGTGGGGGCACCATCAGCAGAGGAGCGAAGATCACAGTGAGTCCAAGCGGTGGCACTGGCTCTCAACGAGTCCAAGGGCCTTGTGTCACAAAGGCCGGGCAATCTTGGCCATCCCAGGAACTGGCAGGATGAGATTTCCCCATATTTCAATATGGACAAGATTTTTGTTGTATCACATTACGAGTCATGATTTGATGGATGAGCCTATATAAGGCTCGAGGCATGAGCCTTACGGTGTGACACGTACAATGAGGCCAGTTCCCCAGCTGCAAAGTGAAGCGATTGGGTCTTTTTGTCCATCAGCTTTCATTGTTCTCTCCAGCTGGAGAATGAGCAACAAATAAATAATTGGTGACAATTCCAGATCATATCATGTTTAATAAAGGCTACAGCAAACTTTCATCCTGTATTGGTATCTGACCCATTACTGTCAGCACAGGGTCTGATCCTGGATCACCACCCCCTGTGCTTCAAATGAAGTGGGACCACAGAGCAGAACCTCCATAGAAGAAAGACTATAAAGGGCTTAGGATTTTCAGGATCAATACCAGTACTTTATGATGGGCCCAGAAACTATTTGAAAGCTAGTGAATTGTAAAATTGGAATTGTAAGCCCTACTTAAACTGCTCCAGTTGAAATGGAAACAGTAGCCATATTCTGAAGCAGTTGAAGTTTCTGGACCCTTTTCAAAGGCAGCTCTCCTGCAGATCATCATGACAGATAACGTGCTTTGCTGCCCAACACAGGTTGCACACACAGAGATACGGACACTCGTAAGCCCTGTTCAGGCATTCTGCTTCTAAGCGTGCTGAACATGCAAGGAGAGGGATCGCATTGTCACCACTACTGTTGCCCTGAACCCTGGGAGGGCAACTTTCTGAAGAGGAGAGCCTCTTGCATCTTTGGGGTTTCCCCAGATGGTTCAGGAAGCTGCCAGTCCAGGGCTTTCAGCCACACAGGGAGCATCTGAAGATGCAGGAGGCTCTCCTTTGCAGAAAGTTGTCCTCTGTGAGTTCAAGGCGATGGAGTTGACAATGGAGGGGCAGCGCTAGTGTGCTTCCTCCTCTCACCAATTGTGTATCCCCCGGATCAGAGCATCTGAGCGGGGCCTCGGTCCACAGTGCTTGCCTTGCCGAGGTGAACCTTCCATTTGTTCCTACTCGGTTAGCTCATCACCAGCTCCAGATTCTCATTTAGACATCTGTAGTGTCTCCGGTTTCTGAAATCAGAACGAGGAGGAGCAGAATGCAATCACTCCAGGGGCAAGCAATTAAATGTTTAGCAATCTCTTTACAGTATTAATGAAATAACAATAAGGACTATGTGAATCAAATCTAAACCCCTGGATCTATAAACCACTGTTATAAAGCACAGTGCACTGTGGTTAGACTGGCAGCAGTTGCTTCGCGCAGGTCTTCCAGTCTGTTGCTGCCAGTCCCCAGTTCCCTTTGTGAAGGTTCACACAGCCTCTGGGACAGAGGGCAGCTCTATCTACCACTTTCTCTTCTTTGCTAATCCTCTACCTTGCTTCAAGCTCCTCCGCAGCTGCCCTCCTTCACTCTGTTACTACGGTGTAGTGGAGCCGGGGCTCACAAGAACAGGGTACCAGCACTTTTTAGTAGGGATGCTGATGTCTTTTGCCACTTGTGTCAGACTTCCTGCTCTCTCAGAGCTGAGCTGCCATAGCTGGGCAAAATGAATTTTCCAGCTGGAATGTATTGTTCCCTGCTGGACTGCACAAAATTTCTGGGTGGCTTGATACTGAACGGTCAATTAAAACTCTTTTGCTCTGCAAAAGACCTGCTCTATGGGAGATGTGAACTTCTAAAATGGATTTATTGATGTGGATCAACACAGTTGCTAGAATTTTGGAACAAGGTGTTGCTCTGGAGTCCATCATTATGAGCACCTCACTTAAAATTCCTCACTATGCCACTGCTCTGTTGCTGCTGCCTCCTCTTTTTCTCCAAACGTTTCTCCCCTTTCTCTCTATTCCATCTTCTCCAGCTCCAACAGTCCATTCAAACTTGCATTCCTCTCCATTCTGTGCTTATCTCACTGTTCAGAGTTCATACCTCAAACTTCAAAAGAGCAGGGTTTCCACATCCGCTGCTGCCTCCCAAGTGCCTGGCCTTCCTCTGTGACAACCTTTCAAGTACTCGAAGAAGGCTATCCTATCTCAGTCTGCTCTTCTGGTGACTAAACATGCCTAATTCTTTCCATCTTTCCTCATAAAGCTTTTGTTTCCACTCCTCAGATCATACTTGGCACCCTCTGAACCCTTTCCAACTTGTCTGCATCTTTCTTGAGGAATTTAATACCCCAGATGAGGCCTAACCAGTGCTGAGTAAAGGAGAGCTAGTACTTCATATGATTTGGAAGTGATACTTCTATTAGTACAGCCCAAAATAGCAATTCCTTTTTTGCAGCCACATCACAGAAAGCCACTGTTCTTGTCCATTTCCCAGCAAACATCAACTTGAGCAACCAAATTGTAAGCGTGGCAAATACTGCATATTTAAAACAGAAAGCAAAAGGAGAAAACAGCCATTTGTTCCTATCCAGAGGAGAGAATGCAAGTTCAATACTGAACTCTGAAGGAATATATAGATTTGCCACACGATATGGGTGAACCACAATAAGGCAAACCACATGTGTTAAAGATTCCCCTGCTGACCCCTATCGATAGTAAAATCATTGACCTAGCAAGATCGATTCCTCTGTGGTATCCTGCACAAACAAGCTGTGGATCAGCAGAGAGACAGCAGACTGGACCCCTGGAGACCATTCTTTTGCTGAAACGCCGAACACAGGACTGTGTATTGCTCGCTTGTACTCCCTTGCTCTCAGTCTCTTTGAACCGGCATTAATCTTGACACAAATGTTCCTGCTCACTGAAGCCCAATTACTGGAAAAGCTGACCACTTTCCCCGGGAAAACCCTTCTCCTAACTCTGTCCCTTGGAAATTTCTATTCTGCTTCTAATAATGTGATGAAAACAACAGACACACACACCACTGGACCCACAGGGTTTTAAAGGCAGGCTTCCTCGACTTGGGAACTGCTCCAGCAGTTCGGCCTGGCAACTGCACAGAGAGGTCATCTGGTGATGGAGAGGGCCTGAGATAGCAGCTAGCCATCATAGTGGCACGTCCTTAGGAAGAGGGAATTAATCCATTGCTCAGCAGCAAGCACCATTAGGTTTTGACACCTGCTATCCATCCGTATGTAAAAAGCTCGCTCCACAATTTGCTCTCTTATTGCATTACAGGCAGATGATCCTGAGGTCAATCTGTCCCAGTGGACCATGGCTGGTGGGGACCGTATTGTGGAATTCCACAAGACTGATGTTCAACAGGGGCCTTCAGGTAAGAAAAGCTGGAATAATGCATGGCTATTAAATCACTGCTGTGTGACAAAGGAAGGCAAGCATTCCTATGGGCCTGGTGCCACAGGAATAGCAATGAGTGATCTGCGGATGTGGAGACGGAGAAGGATCCGCTGCGCTTCTCCTCTTTGCCTGGATACGTGGCCGGGTGGAAGCCAGGGGCAAGGTTCTCTCTCATCTGTGGAGTCAGTCAGCAGAGGATGGGCTCCTTTTTGCGAGCTGGCATACACTGACACACACCAGCTGTGTGCGCGAAAGAGCAAGAGCCTTTTATTTTAGAGCTGTGGCTAAGCCATCCCTGCTCTCTTGCAGCTCCTTCATTTCCCTGCGGAAGAGGCTGTTGCTTTTCTGCCTCTTTCGCAGGGAGAATGAGAAATTTGGAGACATGCCTCACAGTGTTTCCCCTGCTGTAAAGGGCTTGTGGAGGGGATGCCTTTTCTCTCACCACTTTCCTCATTTGATCTTCGCAGCTTCCCGGGCTGCTTGAGCCTTTAGAAAAGCAGCCAAAAGGCCTTAAGCAGGGCTCCCTCGCTTGGAGTTTTCCAGTACTGCCGCCTGCTGGGTCCCTAAAAGCTGCACATGAGGATCTCTTCTCCATCATCTTCTTTTAATTTTGCTTCCTATTCTTGGGGGGTGGGGGGGAGGATTTTCACAAAATGCCACAGTCGACAGCCAAACTAGAGATGACGTTTAAATTAGGGTGGCTGTTTATGCATCACCCAAGAGCAAAGAAAAAAAATGGCACCTATTTGCATAGAGTGTGTGTGCTAACTTGAAAGTAAAACTGCAGTTTCAGAAATAATTACTATAAGGTAATTAGGAGTACAATTTACCATGGTGGAGAAGCTGGGTATCAGATGACCCGCTAAGTTGGCTGTGCAGGTGCCGCAAACAGTGGATGGGTAACTTTAAGGATCTTGCTACCCCCATCTCTTCTGACGGTAACAGGATTTGGACTACAATTTCTAACAGAGAATGGGCCTCTAAGATGTAGGACCCAAGGCCACCCTCCATTAAATGTGTATGTACTTTCTAATATCAATCCTCTAGTGTAAAGGGTCCCTAAACTATGCTTTTTATTAAGACTATACCAAGAAGCAAAAGTTCCCACTATTCAGCAACTGCAATCCCAAGAAATATCAGCCTGTTTGTCCTGGCACAAGGCTGCTATTTGCATTTTTAAGATGCATATGTTATGCAGAGATGCTTTGGCTTGAACCTGGCCCTGGAAAGGACAGGTGCTGTCTCTTTTAGATCAGTTTGTAGGAGAAGGAGGTAATTACTAGAAAGATGAAAAGGTCAGCACTTTGATAAATTTTCAAGATAAAACTGCAGAAGTATTAAAGGACATGTCCTAAAATTTTCATTTAATTATTTACCCTGCCTTTTTACCTACCCCAAAATGCTGCTTGAGGTGAATAACATGTAGATTGAAAATAAAATATTGATAAAATATAACATAAAACAAATCAATTAAAATACAAAGACACAACAATAAAAATATAAATAACACCCTACCTCTTGAAACACCCTTTGGAAAGATGCCACCTTATATGTCAAGGATCTGACCAAATAAAAATGAATTGCCTACCGGTAGAAGGACAATGAAAAGGCACCAACCTAGCCTCCTTTGGCAGAGAGTTCCAGACTGTGGGAATAGCCACTGAAAAGTCCTTTCTTGCATCCCCACCAAATGTGCTTCTCATGGAAGTGGGACCAAGAAAAGGACTTCTCCTGAAGAACTTATAACTACAGCAATATTATGTCAACATAGGCTAGGTTATCACTTTTAATTTTAAAGCTAAACAGACATTAGGCATGTGCATCTGGCACATAGGCCCATTTAATTGTCTCTATTAATAGTCACTCATTGTGTAGAACCAAAAAATTGTCCAGAAATCTATAATAGGTTCTCCTACAAAATCAATACATGTGATCTGAAGCAAGGTCTGGGCGCATGTGTGGGAGAGAGGCAGATAGACATCTTCAAATTGAAGAGGCTGGAAAACACCATAATGATTGTCACAAGAGGAACGTGTTCATTTGTTCTGTTCACTAGTCTTGCTTATTAAAATGTCCCCAGCCGCTCCTACGGAGCCTAGTCTGCGAATGTCTTGGCTCTTTCAGATGAAACAAGATGTCAAATGGACAGAGGGGCAGGAAGTGGGGATCAGCAGGCACAGGGTGGTTGTGATTCTGTTTTCCTCTCCATAAATTCGGAGAACTGAGGCTTCCCTACATAACAGAAGGCACAACAGTATAGATAGCTGTGGTGCCTGCTAAAATAAAAGCTGATTCACTGTATAATTATACACTGTTGATTTATTTATGTAATGTTAATTAGGCACACATATACGAGTCTATGGACAATTAGATTCACTGCTGTAAGGTCCTAGTTTTATATGCATTTTTGTAATTGGCTCTCAGGCTATATAGCCACTTCTGAGTATATCATTATCATTGACATGAGTCAGTCCTGTGGTTCTAGAAAAGCTTCTCTAGGGGGAAGTGGCTTAAAAAGATGGGCTTGAAAACCACTGGGTGCTCTGAGTGGCGAAGAGCAGAGTGGCATTAGCTCAGCAGTCCTTTCTGACCTCAGAGTTTCAGAATCAGTTTCACAAAGTGCATGGATTCCAAACCATCTATTTTCTGCTTCAAATTAAACAAGATACACACTTTTCTATTCTATGCATTTGTTTCGATGCCATTTAGAACTTTCTGGCAGGCATTTTATTTTTAATCTGATATTCTGGTTATTAAGATGACTTTTTAACATTTTAATATCTTTCTAATTTAATTGAATAGATTGGGCAGTATCCAACAGTGTCATTCGGCAATTTCAGCCAGCCCTAGTGGAGCTCTGGAAACTGTCCATTGTGCAATGGCACTTGCCCATACTTAACTTGAGTTGGATTCCCCTCTTGCAGTTAACTCAGAGTCAAGTTTCTGTTAAGGGAATGTTATTTATACAGGTGGAACATCACAGTTGGATACGGTCCATTGTTTTGATGCTGTGCTGTGCTTTTAATGATTAGAAACTACCCCGAAGGCATCAACCAGTTGGGCAGTATATTAATTAATGTTTTCTATTTGTTGCTTTACAATGGGACAGAGATACTAGAGGTATTTATATCGACTCTAAGTGCTGCGTAAAAGACACCTCATTTCATTTGCCAACTTAATCCAACCATATTTGACATTAGCACCTGAAGGGAGTTCAGAACTATTTCAGCCAAAATAAATTCCTACACAAATATCACTTCTGCTTCTTCATAAGAAACTCCCCGCAACTTGCATGGGTACCATCAGGTACAATCAGCATTCCCATCTTCATATCGCTGTATGAAATTATAGCAGGAAGTCTCAAGGATTCCATATGGAGAAACAGATACATCATAATGTAGTGGATTGAGTAGTGGATTTTAGTGTTGCTACATGCCATCAAGTCATCTCCAGCTCTGACAATCTTATGAATGAATGCCTTCCAAATGTCCTATCCTTCACAGCCTTGCCCTTCTCTTGTCAACTCAAGTCTGTGGCTTCCTTTGTGGAATTGAGCCATCTTATAGTGGATCTTCCTCTTCTGCCTTCAACTTTCCCTAACACTCTTGTCTTCTCCACGGAGTCCTGCCTTCACATGATGTGCTTGAAGTCCAAAAGCTTCAGTTGCATCATTGTTGCTTCCAAGGAATGTTCTGGTTTGATTTAAGCTAGAATACACTTGTTCATCTTTCTGTTTGTCTAGATATTCACAAAGCTCTCCTCCAGCACTATGTTTTGAACACCTAATTTTCCTCCTGCCTGCTTGCTTCACTGTCCAGCTTTCACACCCATGCATTGCTACTGGGAATACAATAGCATGGATGTTATTGGCCTTGGTCTCCAGTGAAATGTCTTAACATTTGACAATTGCATCTAGCTCCTTCCTTGTTGCCCTTCCAAGTCTCAATCTTCTTCAAATTTGTTGGCTGCAGTCTCCCTTGGCTGATTGAACCAACATATGCAAAATCTTTCACAATTGTGTTATTGGTGTTGTTTGAAAAACAAGATATAAATGAAATTAAGAAATTTGATCCTAAGTTTGATCATATCTTACATTATTGATCTGCCTTCTAATTTTCCCTCTTCCTTCCTCTGATCACAATTCAGTTTTCCTTATATCCTCTGCATACAGATTGAACAGCTAGAGAGATAAAATACACCTCTCTCTGATGGTTTTGCCTATAGGAAACCATTCTGTTCTTCATATTCTCTCCTAATGGTAGCTTTGTGTTATGCATCAGGACAATCAACTACTGAGACACACCCTTTTCTTCTGGAACCATCCACAGCTTCTTATGAACCATGCAGTCAAAGGCTTTACAGTAGTCTATAAAGCAGAGACTGATCCTCTTCTGAAATTCTTTGGTGTCCTTTAGTAGCCAATGTATATTTGGAATATGATCTTAGGTGCCTTTTTCTTTTCAGAATCCAGCTCGAATGTCAGGCATTTTTTGCTCTGTATTGGGTAATATTCTTTACTGCAACACTTAGAGCATCACATTGCTTGCATGGAAGGTTGGTGCAATGGTCTTATATTTGCTACGCTTCTTGTGTGTGCTTGTCAGACCACAATGCACATGCCATGAAAATGAAATTCATCTTGTGTGAGGCAGCCATTAGTTCTGCTTGAATTGCAAGAAAAAACAGTCCAAGGACTGAAGCAACACATAAGAAAAACTCAAAATTGTTTCTTCACCAACTTTCACCACCTTCTGGGTATTGGTCAGTTTGTATCTTGCATTTATAGCATCATTTGCCTCTGACAGGAAGTCTGGAGAAAATGACAGAGGAAGTCTGATAAGTGTATTATGAGACTCTTGACAGCACAGAACAAGTTGTAAGATGTAATTAAAGCAAAATGAAAGTTTTGAATGAGACCAGAAATTAATGGTTGCTTTCCTCCAAAGATATCTTACCGACATGCATCATGAAGCTTACCAATTTAGCTGTCCAGGTGGGAACACAGTGAGGCTGGATGTCAAGGGGCCCAGAGTGGCCAAGCAAATTCTCAACAGTGTCAGTGGATGCCATGAATCTAGTGTGGGGGGGGGGGGCGAGGGGGCACCTGTATCATCTCAAAGAGGAATGCCAATGGTGCTGTCACAGACAGAGCCAGCTGCCCAAAGAGCAAAGGAGAGATAAAAGCAGAAGAATTCAAATGAGGTTTCTCAGTTTTGAGGGTGGTGCTTTAGCTTCCACCAGTTTACTTCATCGTTAAAAAAAATCAAAAGCAGACAACTGGTCTGGGGATCACAGGTAAATAAAGTCCAGTAAGTCCCAGCTTTAGCTTCCCTACAGTCTCCTAGATGGACCAGTAATCAATCTCTCTCTCTCTCACTCTCTCTCTCCCCCCACACCGCACCCTGTGGTTTACATTTGTTATGTACATGTGTTATATACCTCTTTCACCATGTATTCTGAATATTTTCCATGATGCTTCTACAA